TGGGGTGAGGTTGGGTCCAGGGAGAGGAGTCCTGAGGATTGTGTTTGCATAATTAGAGGGTGAAGCCTTCAGAGAGGCGGGGCCTCAGAGAGGCCATTCTAGGGCTTGTGAACTAGGGTAGAAGGTTGGGAAGATGACCCGGAAAGGTGGCAAGGCTATGATCCAGGGTGGGAGGATGATTCTGCAAAGGATGAGTTTTGAATGCCAAAGGGAGGATTTTAGGGGAGAAATGAGTGTTCCACGTGACCTTGGAACCTCCTCCACGTCCACCAGTCAGGATTGGAGAGTAACTAAGGACATTCATTCAGCAAACATTTACTGAACTCTCACTTGGGCTCTGAGAATAGAGAGGTGACCAAGATAGGTAAGGACTGTGTTCTATTGGAGCTTGCAGTCTCATGAAGGGAGAGAGACAATAAACGAGATTTATTGTGGTATGTTCTATAAAGGAAATAAAAATTGAGCTGATAGAGTGAAGGTGGAGGGGAGCTAAATTTAGATAAGAGAAGTCAGCTGGGTGCAGGCTTATATTTACACTGAGGTCAGAGAGATAAGCAGGATCCAGATCATGGTGGACATTACAGTGACGATTTGGGATTTTAAGTGCAGTCGGAGCCATTAGAGTGTTTTGAGTGGGAAAAAATGACTTTATCTGATTTACATTTTCAAAAGACCATTCAAACTGCTCTAGGGAGGTGGCTTATAAAACGGCAAGAGTAGGAACAGAGATTTAGGAGGTTACCTAAAAGGAACACCCTTTAGGAGGAGAAAAGTGTGAATCCATGATATATTTTGGATGGAGGGGGAGTGTCAATGGGGATACTTCAGAATCCTGGAGGATGGAGAACAGGTTCTAAATCGAGGAGCCCAGTAGGCTACAAAGGAGCTGTGTGTTTTAATAAATGGGGACGTGTGGAGAGGTCTTGAGGCAGGGTCCACAGGCTCCTCTTTCTTCTCCCACTTCTCCAGGTCCTGGTGCCTGATGATGGCCGCTCCACCACGACCCCAGGTGACCTCATTGAGATCCAGGTGGTGAAGGTGACAGACACCACACTAGTACCTGAGCCTCCGGAGCCAGGTTCTTTTCACTGTGCCTTGTGCCCAGCTGCCTTCCGGCTGGTTTCAGAGCTACTGTTCCACGAACATGGCCACCTGGCAGGGGCTGAGGGAAGCGGGCAGGGTGGGGACCCAAGCCGGTGCCATGTGTGTGGCCACAGCTGTCCGGGTCCCGCCAGCCTCCGTGCCCACTACAGCTTGCACACGGGAGAGCGGCCCTACCGCTGCCCTCTCTGCCCCCGGGCCTTCAAGGCCTTAGCCCCTCTGCTCCGGCACCAGCACCGACATGGGGTGGAGCCAGCGACCTCTCGGAGGTCTTCGGAGGCAGTTGCAGTTGGAGAACAGAGGCCTGGGATTACTCAGGAGAGGTCGGAGGTGGTGATGGCAGCGGCGGCGGCAGGCGCAGCAGTGGGAAAGCCTTTCGCCTGCAGATTCTGCGCCAAACCGTTCCGCCGCTCCTCAGACATGCGAGACCACGAGAGGGTGCATACAGGCGAACGGCCATACCACTGCGGCATCTGCGGCAAGGGCTTCACCCAGTCCTCGGTGCTGAGCGGCCACGCTCGCATCCACACAGGCGAGCGCCCCTTCCGCTGCACGCTCTGTGATCGCACTTTCAACAACTCTTCCAACTTCCGCAAGCACCAGCGCACCCATTTTCACGGGCCGGGGCCTGGGTTGGGAGACTCTGGAGGCCAGCTGGGATCATCAATGACTGAAGGGTCAGGGAGTGGGGCAGGAAACACTATGGAAGAAGGATGTGCGAAGACAGTCAAGATAAAGATGGAGGTTGACCAGTAGGCTGGAAGAGCAGGGACATCGGGAAGTTAACGGATGTAGGAGGCAGATTGCAAGGGACGGGGGTGGCGGAAAAAAAAGAGGCAGGGGACATATGAGGGGAGTTTGGGGTAGATGGCCATACACAGCTAGTGTTGGAGAGCAGAGGGAGAGAACCAGGTTTGGAACTCCCAGACCCACACACCACTTCTGTGAGACTCAGAGCATGGTACATATGCAGCCCTCTGGAAGCCCAGCTAAATGCATGGCTATGGGCTGGATTTCACTACCCCGCCTGCCTCCTCGTTGGGTTATCCTTGTGCAAGACACAGCCTGTCACAACATAGCCTGGGCGCTACAGAGTGGGGTCAAGGTTGTGTGGAAGGGAGAGAATCAGGGTCCATCATAGTGTTCCTGGTTTAGTCCTTCATCTACAGGACTCTGGACTATCTTGGGGGCTCCCTAGGGTTGACCAGGATGGAATCTTTTGCCTACCTCACTGGATTGCACTGGACCTGGGATGCTGACCCACCCTCAGGCAGAAGATGCCCACCAGGTCGTCTGTAGAGACTCTGGGATCCCATCACCTCAAAGCCAGAGTCCCCAAGTCACAGCTTAGAGCACTTGAGCCTCAAGGATGTAAGCCTGACCACAGGATCTTGACTCCAAGAGCTGCTTCCCCTGCTCCCTTGGCAGTCCCTCTAACCCATCTAGACTCTTCTAATGCAGCTTAGAACACGGACAGCTAGCAGCCACCTAATATCCCCTTCCTTATTCTTTAGGCTCAGAGTCTATGGTCCCCACATCTACATAGGAGCCTCAGGTTTCTTTTAATTCCCTCCAGTCCCAATTTGAAGCAAACAGTTTACTGCCTAATCCCAGGCAATCCCAAGGACAGATTGGCTGATGGCAGCATGATGGGCTGGCCAGGGGGTGAGGAATGAGTCACTGTGGTGGGGAGGGGCAAGAGGAGGACTTGGGAGCTGGAGATGGGAAATCTCCAGTTCTATTCCCATTAAAGGACTTTCTGAAGGGTTTCCCTATGTCAGTCTTGTACCTGGGTTGTCTGCTTTTGGGAGGTGGGGGAAGAGGGGCCACACTATTGTCTTGCCACCAGTAGTGAGTTGCATCATACCTCTCTCCAGACCTCTGTTTCCTCATCTTTAGAGTAGAGGTGAATAGGCTGTGGTTATTCAGAGATGTTATGTGGTTCAGCTGTGGGAGAGGTGGTCAAGGAAGTTTGGCAAAATGAAGGGACTCCTGTGATTGGCATGCTTGTTGAGGAGGGAGAGTCCCTGATTTGCACACCTTCATGTTTACCCAACATTCCCCATGAGATAACCCATGGACAACTCATAATGTGAACAGAACTCATTCCATTTCCCCCAAAGAAATGTCCGTTTATCTCATTGGCATTGCTACCCACACTAGAAACCTGGCCAGATTCCTTAAGCCTTCTTTGTCCCTCATCCATATATCTAGTCCCTTATCAATGTCCCCCTGTTGAGCCAGTTAAATGTCTTTGGAATTTGAACACTTCTTTTTGTCACCACTACTCTTGTACTCTTGTAGTTCGAGCCAATGTCTGGATAACTGTACAGCATCCCAACTCCCAGGCCCTGCCCTCTTCATTCTCCATACTGCAGCCACATGGATCCTTGTTATCAACCCACAGCTCTTTGTGGCTTTGACAAAGGATCACTAATGCAAATGCCTACAGGAGCTGGGTGGCAATGTAAATATATGAGTAAGGTGGCCAAGTTCAAAGGAAAAATACCAGTAAGGTGAAATGGTGACTGATAGTTGGGCTCAGTGTTGGGATTCAACAAGGAGAGGTGAGACTTGGTGGCAAATTGGAGAGTGCATACCCCTTGGAAGAGGGTAATGGCTACTCTGGTGGGGGTGGCATTTAGATTGGGTTGCTAGATCCCCCAAATTTTTCAGGCATTCCATTAGTTCATGTTACGTAAAATCTTTTGATTTTCCAATGTTGGCAACTAAGTCAAACTTTATTTTTTTGAATGCACAAACTCAATGAAATGAGTCAGTGGGCCATATCCAGTCTCCAGCCTATAAAGTCATTCAAATTCCACAATTTGGAATTCAAGTCTTACCTCTCAGGATCCAGCCCCCACCCCTTAGCCCCAACCTCCAGGCATACTAATCTATTTGAAATGCTCCAGAATATCTAGGTTTAGTTAGACACACCAAGTCCTCCACCTGGAAATCTAGTTTGCCCAGCTCTTTACCTGGCAAGTTCCTGTTGCTTTATGTCACTGTTCAGGTATCATCATCTTCCTCAGTAAGCTTTCCTAGTCCCCAACCACCAGTCTGATAGGGTGACCCCTCTGTGCTCCCTCAGCCCCCAGTGACTTCCATGTAACTTTTGAACCTTGGGGCATTGGCACAAGATCTGTCTCACACTGAGTCTTCAGCATTAGGACAGTGTCCACACTGGGTTGCCTCCCTTCCATGGGGCACACTGGACTTGCCCAGGCAGTGCCCTCTTACCCAGTTTCATCTTCCAAGTTTCAGTATTGAGGTACCCCAGGACTGGAGTCCCAATTATACTGTGGATTTGCTAGGTGTTCTTGGAGCTCCTTTGTTCTCCAGGACCCAGGTCTCCTCTTCTGACAAATGGGAAAACTAATTACACGTTGCGGCATATATTTCACTGTTCCAAGAACTAAAATGAGAGCTGTGAAAGGGCTTTTGAATCTCTCAAATTACTATCCTGGAGGGTCAGGCGATATGAGCGAGCTGTATAATAAACACAAGTCTGCACAAGGCTGCAATACAGCAGTGGCTCGACAAGGCGAGGGACACGTCCAATTCATTGGTTTACCTAATGCCCAGCTCAGGGCCTGGCAGACAGGAGCCTTAAGGAAATGGTGGCTGAGTGGACAAAAAGCATCATGAAGGACAAGGAGTCTGGGCATGTTAAGTCAGTTCCTGAGAGCAGAGACTTACCAATCTTGTTCTCCATTTGCCCGACTCATAGACTTAACGCTTGGAGTATGGTAAATCCTCAGTAAATATGGGTTGATTGTGAGTGAAACAGAGGGTGCAGGGGAATCAAACTCCCAAGGGAAACAAAAGTTCTCAACCATGTGTTTTGGCATCTCTTAATCCCCACTCTTCCTGGGATACAAGGATGGTCTCCAGGGCCCTGTTGATAAGATTTATTATTCTCCGCTCTGTACAAGCCGCGTCTGCCACCCCACCCCCCACCCCACGATCCAAAGGAGTACCCAGCTCCCCCACCCTACCTTATGCCCTCCCAACTCTGCTCATATTCCACTGTCCAGCCCGATTACAAATGAAGGGGGAAAGGCAGTTCAGACCCATCTTCACCAAAGCTTATTGGGGGCAGAATGCTGCTGGGGGCTGGGGGAGGACGCTGATGACGGTTACAAAAAAGGGTTGGACGGAAGATCAAGTTCAGTGTCTGAGGGGATGAGGGAAGAGCCAGAGAGGTCCAGGATGGGAGTGATTCAGTCTCCAGTTTGTAGGGCATGGGCCCTGAAGGAGGCTAGTCCGTCTGAAGTTCTTAAGGATGGGGAGATAAGGAGGGGGAAGAGTCTAAATGGCAGCCCCAGAAGGGGGTAAGTCTGGAAGAGGACATCTGATTGAAGTGGCAGATAGGAACCTGCCCCCCTGGTCAGGCATCCTTCCCAGCCAAGGTGCCTGCCCCCGCTCCAGCTCCCCCAAGGCCCTCAGCCTTATGCGCCAGGCGGTGTTTCTTGAGGCCGTAGGTGTTGGCGAAACCCTCACCACAGGAAGAGCAGCGGAAGGGCCGGCCGCCCTGGTGGGCTGCCAGGTGCTTACGAAAGTAGCCGGGATCCTTGAAGGCCTTGAGGCAGGCAGGGCAGCGGAGCTCGGGCCGCGGTGGCTCGTGGGCGCGCTGGTGGCGCAGCACCGAGCTCAGGTAAAAGAAGCCCTTGCCACAGTGCTCACAGCGGTAGGCGCGCTCGCCCAGATGCAGCCGCTGGTGCTCCAGCAGGTTGGAGCGATAACGGAAGGTCTTGCCACAGGCGCCACAGCGCTGGGGCCGGGCCACAGCGTGCAGCCGCCGGTGCTCCGCCAGGCTAGATGACTGTGCGAAACGCTTGGCGCATACGCCGCATTTGAAGGCGCGCTCCCCTGTGTGCACCACGCGATGCTGCCGAAGGTACCAGGAGCGCAGGAAGCCTCGGCCACACACGCCACACCGGTAGGGCCGCTGCTCTGTGTGGCAGCGCTGGTGGCGCATCAGCAGGGCTGCCTCCCAGAAGCGCTTCCCGCACACTGGGCAACGGAAGCCCCGCTTCTGCCGGTGGCTGCGGCGGTGCAGGAGCAGGTCATAGGCGCCAGCAAAACTTTGACCACAGAGGCCGCAGCCCAGGGTCCGCCGCACCAGGTGCACGTACTTGTGAGTCACGAGACCCAGGAAGTGCTTGAAGCTCTGACCACACGTGGCACAGCTGAAGCGCTCAGGGCCGGAACTGGCACCCCCGCCGGCCCCAGCCACCGCTGTCCCGCCTGCATCCTCACCCCCAGACACTCCTGCCAGCGCCGCCACGGCCGCCCCCACCTCACCAGCCAGCCCATTGTCCAGCACGCTGGCCACATCGCCGCCACTGGAGCCGTCTGGCGGCTGGGGGCCGCCAGGTGTGGGCGGGAGCAGACGCTCGGGGGCAGCCTGGTGGACCAGCTTGTGCCACATGAGGTTCTCAATGAAACCAAAGGTCTTGCCACAAGCATCGCAGCCGTATGGCTTTTCCGCCATGTGGGCCTCCTTGTGGCTCATGACGTGAAAGAGATCTGGGAAGTGTTCGCCGCAGTCCGAGCAGGCATAGCTCAGCCCATCAGCTGGCCCCGTGGATGTGGCAGAGGCCCCGGGCCCACAGGCCCCTGGCGCACCCTGGGTGGCTGGTAGGCCAGCAGCCCCGGCCAGAGCACAGGGCAGCTGGAGCCGGTGCACCTGGCGGTGGCGAGTGAGACTCTGCGGGTAGCCAAAGACCTTGCCACAGAGCTCGCACTTGTAGGGCCGCTCGCGCGTGTGCACTACGTGGTGCTTGCTCAGGTGGAAGGACTCACGGAAGCGCTTCCCACACACGGGGCACTGGTGGGGCTTCTCGCCAGTGTGGATGCGCTCGTGGCGCTTCAGGGTTTCACGGCGCCCGAAGCCGCGCCCACAAATGCCGCAGCAGAACGTCTTTCCGGGGACTGTGGCGCCAGAGCCTACCGCCCCGCTCGTCCCAGCCCCACCAAGCAGCAGCGGGTGGGCTCCCAGCAGCGGAACCGGCATGGCGCCATACACCACAGCTGCTGCAGCCGCCGCCGCCTTCTCACTGTCTGTGGCAGGAGGGTCAGGAGGCAGGAGGTATGGGCCAGAAGGGAAGGTGGGCGGGGGCTGCGGGACTGAGGCTGCCCCGTCTTTGGGAGCATCACCGGCGGCTGCAGGCGGGGCATGGGCAGCCTTATGACGGAGCAGGCTCTGCGGAGCCGAATAGGACTTGCCACACAAGTCGCAGGGGTACACCGGCCGAGGACTCCCAGCCCCCGCCCCCGCGTGAGCCGCTTGGTGCTTGAGGAGGTAGGAGGCATCGCGGAAAGCCTTCCCACAGATGCCACACGGCAGGCGCAGGAGGTTGGCCGAGTGTGTCTTCACGTGCCGCTTAAGGCTCTCCCTCCGGTTGAAGCTTTTGCTGCATACGGAGCAGGAGAAGGGCTTTTCACCCGTGTGGATGATCTGGTGCTGGTGGAGGTGGCTGGGCTTCTTGAAGACCTTCCAGCAGAGCGGGCAGGCAAACGGGCCCTCGCTGCCTCCTGTTGTGGGAGGAGGCACCCCAACAACAGTAGGGGCTGCAGGGGCTGCGTTCCCATCTGCGGAGGAGGCGCTGGGCGCCGTGGACGTGGCTGGAGGGCCAGAAGAAACACTGGTGGGGGCAGTGGCAGCGGCACTGGCGGCGGGTGCAGGAAGGCCCAGCGGTGGGAGCGGTGGGCCAGGCTGGGGTGGGCCTCCAGCGGCCGGTGGCACATCCTTGTGGCAGCGGCGGTGGCGGATGAGGCTGGAGACATGGTTGTAGGTGCGACCACAGACGCCACACTCATATGGCCTCTCCCCCGAGTGCACCAGCATGTGCTGAACCAGGTGCGAGGACTGCTTGAAGGACTTCTGGCACACGCCACAGGGGAAGCGCCGCTCCATCAGGTACTTCAGCCTGCGGAAGTAGCCCTTGTCATCCTTGGTTGGGTCGCAGGCGGCTCCTGTGGCAGGTCCTGGTGGAGTCTGCGAGGGGGTGGGAAGTGGCCCGGGAGTCCCCGTGGGAGTGCCCAGTCCTGGCGTCACCCCTGGCCCGGATGCCGGCCCTCCTCGTTTCAGGTTCCCAAACAGGTGCTGGTGTCCTGACAGATCGACGATGCCCCATTGTGGGGCCGGGAAGGCAGCATCAAAGAGGGGAGGCGGGGGAGCCCCAAAGGCAGGCGGCAGGGGCGGATCAGGCTTCTTGGCTTGGGAAGAGGATGACGACGAGGAAGAGGAAGAAGACGACGACGACGATGACGAAGATGAGGAAGGCACCTCTGCCTTGGGTTTGAAAGTAGACTGGGGTGGGTAGTCATACTGGGGAGGAGGCGGTTGGGGCGGGGGCTGGGGCGGGGGGCCAGGGGCGCAGGGTAGGGCTGCCACCGCCTTGGCATGTTCCCCGTACAGCTCCATGGGCTCAAAGCGCTGGTGGTTGAGGAATTCCAGGAAGTCAAAAGGGTAGCTCTGGAAATGGACCCCGTCCTCGCCCCCTATGCCGCTGCTCCCACCACCCCCGGCAGCGCTGCCCGCTGGGTTTGCCTCCATCTCTGGCGGGTGGGGAGACCCTGTGAAGAAGAGGATGGGGCTGAGGAAACCAGATAGGGCGCCTGATCTCCCTAGCCAGCAAAGGGAGCTGTGTGCCAAGACTCATTCCCCTTCCTTTTGCTGGATAGCTATTCCCTCATGTTCTAGGCGTCTGCATCTCGTTCCCCCATCTTTCCACCCCAAAGAGCAGCCAGCTCTCCCTCTTAGCTCCACTAGGCCCAGGCCTCTCCTACTCGCCTTTACCTCTTCTCCCTGGGTCCTCAAGTCCCACCCCTCCATCTCCCTTTTGTCTAATTCCTTCCATCTCTTCCTCTCTTTTCTGGTCCTGACACACCTCCTCTAACTATCCCCAGACCCTCTCCTCAATACCACCTACCGGCCTTCTACTTTCTCTCCTTCTCAGTCTAATTCTCCCAGTACCCTAGGGGCCTCTGATCTCAGTTCTTTCAAACCCTCTCAGGCCCTCTGCTGTGTCTCCCTCTACTCCTGACACCCCCCCCCCCCACACACCCACACCAGCCTGCTCCCAATCCCCCCAGGTTTTGCTTCTGTAAAATGAGGCTAATAATAGTTTATATCAGAGTGATTAAGAGAGTGGACTACGGAGCCAGAATGCCAGGTTCAAATCTAAGTCCTGCCACTTTCTAGCTGTGTGACCATGGGCAAATCGCTGAATCTTTCTGTGCCTCCATCTCCCCATCTACAAATGGAGATAACAAAATACATTCCTACATCACAGAGTTGTGAGGATCCAACAAATTAATATGTGTACAGCTCTTAAGGTGGATGGTTCCTGGCACTCCGTAAGCACTCAATAAATAGAAGCTATTATATTGTTATTACTGTCACCACTAATAGTAGAAAGAGAGAAGTCAGGACAAGCCAAGAGAACTGGAAAGGAAGTCAGTATTGGGAGGGGGTGCATTCTTTTAATACAAGGTAGAATGAGAATCTGCTTGCCTGGGAGAAATAAATTACAGCAAGGGAGCAAGGTGGCTGGCATTTAGTCACAGACAGCCTGATACAACAGAAAATACATGGGCCCTGGGATGGGAAAGATCTGGGTTCAAATTCCCATCTCCACTGGGATCCATTTTCTCTATATTTAAAATGGGATGATAACCCCCTACACTGGAGGGGTATTTAAAACAATTGAAATAGAATGTAATGAAAACATGCATCAGCTCAGTGAATTCAATCCCCTGAGCTATTTGTACCATCAATGGCATTGCACACCTGGGCTAAGCCTAGCAACAAATGCTCAGGGAGCCTGAATTCCTGTCCTCGCCCCTATGGGGAACTCTCCTGACCCCTCCACGCCAGCAGTCGTTCTCTGGGAGCTCCTTTAGAGTGCTTTTCATTCCAGATTGCAGCTGTCTGTGTCTGTACCTCATCTCCCCCACCAATACCTCGGCTCCCATCATTGATCTCTAAGTTCTTAGACCCACCTGGGAGCCTGGTGAAACACCTCCATGGAATCAGAGAAGAGCCAGTGGGAGAAGGGCCCATGAGGTCTGACCCACTTCTTGTCCATCATTCCTCCCTCCAAGGGCCCAGCCCACTGTGAAGGTTAGGGAGGCCTACTGAGGCCTCAGCCCTTCATCCTCTATCCATTTGGCTTGTTCTCTCCTCCCACAGGTGAAAGGTGTCTCCTCCACCCCAACCCCCACCCCAGACTTAGATATTTTTAGTCTCTAACTCTGGGTGTCCTTGTCCTTGGGTAAAACTCAACATCCCATGTCCTTCCCACCCCCTCCATTTAATCTGATCTCCAGAAAGAGCAAAGGCATGGCTGGGGTGGCAACTAGAAGACTGTAGGTGGAACCTAAGTTGGGGAGACAGCTGTGGAGGGGACTGAGTGGACAGGGAAGAAAGCACATGGTATAAGGATGCAGGGAGCAGGGGAGCAATTTAGGGTGCTAGGGTGTGGGGGAGTGAAGGTGTAGGGGAAAGAGCCACTGCCCTGGCTCACCTCCATTAGAGCACATATAAATAATAACCATCATTGATTGGGCATTCCCTGTAGGCCTGCCACTGTTCTAAGCAGGTTACCTATATTAACTCACTGAATCCCCAACACAACTCTATGAGATAGAGACAATTATTATCTCCATTGGGAAAATGAGAAAAATGAGGCACAGAGGCCAAGTGACTTACCCAAGGTCACACAGCAACGGTCTGGATCAACTGCCTGAATCCCATTCTTATCCTGCTCCCACAGGAGCATTTTACCAGAGATTGTTCTCTGAGAGTAGAGGAAGGTGGGTATAGGAGCCTTATTTGGAGTAGGTGCTCTTTGGGTTATGAGGGGTGTTTATACAAGGGGCCTGGTGGGAGGGGATGGTGGCTAATGTCTCCTCTGTCTGGAATGTTCTTCCTCACATTTCAACAAGTCTCCCTCTTGAGCCTCCTTCAAGTCTCTACTAAGCACTCCCTAGCTAAAATAACCCCCTACCCCCTCCCTGTCTAGGCCCTCATGCAGCAGCATTTTTTATCACAGTTATTACCACCAACTATATTTGTTTGCTCTATGTTTACTGTATGGCCCTTCACTAAGAAAGCAAGGACTTGGCCCATCTTGTTTGCCACTGTGCTCCTGGCATCTAGCACAGAGCCTGGCATGGAGCAAGTGCTTGACAAATACTTGCTGATATGTGGAAATTAAACACCTTCCTAAATCACCAATGGGTCCACAAAGAAATCACAAATTAGAAAATGCTTTGCAATAAATACAACTGAAAACACAACATACTAAAGCTAGGAGATGCCACCAAAGCAGTGCTCCAGAGGGAAATATATAGCTGGAAATGCCTATATTGATAAATATTTGCAGAATGAGTGAAGGAATAAGACTAAGCTGAACAGAACTCCCTAGACTGGGGGAGGGGGAAACATACTTAGCAGAAATGAAACTAACATCTGGGAGGGTATCCCGCTGGAGAAGGAATTCTGGGGACAGTGACGTTATGAAGAGGGCACTGAGGCCAGAGTGGCCAGATGCTGAAAGGGGTGTCTTAACAAGAAAGAGAATTGATCAAGCTCATGATAATTTCCACTGGGAAATAAGACATTTCCTCTTTCAGGGGACTCAAGCCTTAAAACGATGTCTTTCTAAGGGAAAAAGTCACAGGAGGGTTTTATGCAGAGAGAAATATGATGTGGAGAGACACCTTCCCCCCAATGCCCTGCGAGGGGCAGAAATCCCACAGCAACTGCAGTAACTGTCTTAACAGCTCACATTTATTGTTTGACCAGTTTTATATGCACCAGTGTCTTGATGCCTCACAACTGTCCTATCATTATGGTCCCATTTTATAAATGGGGAAACTGAGGAGCAGGGGGTGGGGGAGTGTCATTCCTTCAAGATCATGTAACCAGTAATAGGGAAAGCAGGTATTTTATTCCAAGACTTTCAGATTTCAGGACCTGTGAGCCATTCTGATGCAATAAAGCTACCTTGTGATGAAATTCTAGTCTGTTAATAACAGTAAAATAGAGTAACATATAACATTGAATGAGTACCTTTTTTTTTTTTTAAAGATGACTGGTACGGGGATCTTAACCCCTGACTTGGTGTTGTCAGCACCACGCTCTCCCAAGTGAGCACAGGCCATCCCTTGAATGAGTACTTCCTACAAGCGAAGTATTCTTCTAAATCTTGTACATGTATTGACTAAATGAATCCTCCAAACAACCCTAGAAGATGGTTACAATTATCGACTTTCAAATACACTGGAAGAGACTGAGGACCAGAGAGGTAAATTAATGTCCCCAAGTCACGCCACTAACAAACAACAGGACTAGGAGTTGAAAGCAGGTGATGGGGCTCCAGTCGTGCTCTTACCCCCACAACAAGCTGTCTTTCAATATTTCACCCTCCAAATTAAAGGAAGATCTCCCATACCACCTTATACTATAAAATGCTTTGCCCCACCCACCTCCCTGCCACCTAACCCCAAGTCTCTTGGTTTGACCCAACTCCAAGAAAAGCCACCAACATTTGTTGAACTCTAACAAGCATTGTGCTACGTGCCTTTGGTGGCTTGTCTTATTCAAACATCACAGCAAATTTGTAAGTATTACTATTATTCCCATTTCACAGACAGGACTAATACCAAACCATGTCCCTCCTCTGCTCAAAACCCTGCAATGACCCCATCTCCAAGTAAAAGCCAAAGTCCTTAAAATGATCGAAATGCCCCCATGGTCTCCTAGATGTCCCTCCAATGTGCCGGCTCCATTCCTGCCCCAGGGCCTTTGCACTGGCTGTTGCTTCTGCCTAGAATGCTCTGACTTCCACATATCCACCTTGCTCACTCCCTCACCTCCGTCCTGTCTTTGCTCAATTGTCATCTTATCAGTGAGGCTCTCAGCAACCACTGTTACTTGCCACTCAGGCCCACACTCCTGATCTCTCTCACTCTGCTTCATTCTTCTACTTACTGCTCATCATCATCTAATATATCATATATTGTTTGTCTTGTTTTTGTTGGTCTTGTCTCCCCCTCTAGAGGGTCATTGGCTCCATGAAGATAAAGATTTTTATCTGTTTTGTTCACTGCTCTATCCCCAGGACCTAGAACAGTGCCTGGCTTGACAAACATTTGTTGAGTACGTGAATGAATGAGGCTAGGAAAAGAGGGAGTAGTTTGCTCAAAGATAAGAACTCTAGTGGAACACAAGGCTCATCTTCATAATCACTTCACTCCTGAGGTGGGGGAAATATTAAGAGCAGTCCCCTGGTGGGCCACAGTTGTCCATAAAGAGGAGAATTTACAATCAGATGTAACTTTTTGGTGTGTGGCTTTTTGGAGAGACAAGATGGCAAGGGATAGGAATCTCCTGAGAGAGCCTTCACTACAGCCCATGTCTCTATCCCCTTATCCCGCTGTATTTTACTTCACACACACACATTCGTATATATTTTGTTTTAATTGTCTATCCCCTCAACTAGCATATCCACTCCATGAGGACAGGGAGTTTTGTCTGTTTTGTTCTCTGTTACATCCTCAGTGTGAAGTAAGTGCCTATTAAACAGTTGTTGAATAAGTATTTATGAATGAAGAAATGAATGAATGAAGAACATTCTGGGCTTGGTAGAGTGGACAAAGGACAGATAATTTATCCCAATTCCCTCGCCTCCAAGGCCCTTTGAGATCAAACCTTTCCTCCTTTCAGTCTTCCTTTCAATTCTTTCACTCCAATCTCACTGGCCTCCCCTGCTGTTCTTCCACTCACCACAGTCATGGCCCACCTCAGGGCCTTTGCACTTGCTGTTCCCTCTGCTTGTACACCCAGATCTTTGCATGGCTAAGTCACTTCTCATAATTCAGGTTTCACCTCTGAAGTAACTCATTGGGCTCTCAGAGGACCCACAGAACAGCATTTATCTTGTTTATTTGTTCACTTGTTTCTGATCTGTCTCTTCAAGTGGACTGTAAAACCCCACAAGACAAAAGGCTGTGTGCATCTCTCTCCTTCACAACTCTATGACCTGGACCTAGAACAGTGAATATTCGCCCAGGGAAAAATGAATGGGGCTGGCCAGTTAGCTCAGTTGGTTAGAGAGCAGTGTTGGTAACACCAAGGTCAAGGGTTCAGGTCCCCGTACAGGCCAGCCGCCAAAAAAAAAAAAAAAAAAAATGGATGCCTAGGAAAGAAGAGGTCACACCCTAGTGGAGCTAGGGGTCTTCTCTAGGGAGTCCAGGAGGATGGCACGAAGGCTGGGCGAGAAGTTACAGGTCGGGACAAGGGTTATCATGCCAGAGGAAATTGTGAGAGGGAAAGCTTCACAGCCTGGCTACCAGAAATTGTTCTGTAGCAGAAGTACTGAAGGCAGAAACTGACCAGGATGAGGGTGAGGGAGGAGGCCCAGCAGGAGTATTTCATGGGAGCCTGGACGTAAGCAGCAGATATTTCTACCTGAAGTGGGAGAGGATACGAGCGTGAAAGCAGAACTCTAGAGGGAGCTGTTCTATGGGGGTGGGGGTGAAAAGGGCTATTCTTAAGGGGAATCACTAGGGGATTTGCAGGAGGGGAAAAAAGGCATTTTTGGTGCTGACCAGAATACAAAGTATTTTTACACCAAGGAGCAGGGTGTGTGTGGGTGGGGGTAGATTAGGAGCTTTGGGAGTGGGCTGTTGTGTGTGGACAGAGGTAATGGGGGTCGGTGTCTGCTGTGAATCACTAACGCAATACTCTGGAGACAATCCTTTAGGTAGAAAGTACTAATAGAGGGTTCGCAGCAGCTGCCCTACATGGGGGTGGCAGTGCTAGTGGCATTTGGGGAGCTGTCCTGGAGGAAGCAATGATGGGGGGCTATGTGGAAGGGATCCTATGAGAAAACATTAGTGGAGGGCCCTGGCATCAGTTTAGGGGATCGCCATAAACGAAGCCGCTTTGGCATCCGTCCTACCTGTGGGCGTTCATGGGATAAATATCTGGAGTGTTCTGATGGGAAATCAGTGATTAGGGGTCCCCTGGCAAGGGCCCAGCGGGAGAAGCACTGACGTTTGGCGGAGGGACGTTCTGTGGACTAGAGCGGGCCAGAGCAGGGCCCCCCGCCCCCGCTGCACCCGGGTCACCGGGCCACGCGCCCCGTCACTCACCGGCGCCGGGGTCTCCGCCGGGAGGAGGCCGAGGAGGCGGAGGAGGCGCCGCCGGTCTGGGGAGACCCGAGGGCCCGACCGGAAGTGCCGCCCCCCCCCCCTCCCCGGCAGCCCCGCACCGCCCGCCCGCCCGGAAGCGGAAGTCGCGCCCGTTCTAGAGCGCCGCCGTGGAGCCTCGCTCAGCCAGTGAGCGGGAACCGGTCTGTATGTGGGATCCGAACCCTCAGCGGGAGCGCCTCCGCACATCCCAAGCGGCGCACTAGCGCAGTCCTCGCTCAGCCAGTGAGCGGGAACCGGTCTGTATGTGGGATCCGAACCCTCAGCGGGAGCGCCTCCGCACATCCCAAGCGGCGCACTAGCGCAGTCCTCGCTCAGCCAGTGAGCGGGAACCGGTCTGTATGTGGGATCCGAACCCTCAGCGGGAGCGCCTCCGCACATCCCAAGCGGCGCACTAGCGCAGTCCTCGCTCAGCCAGTGAGCGGGAACCGGTCTGTATGTGGGATCCGAACCCTCAGCGGGAGCGCCTCCGCACATCCCAAGCGGCGCACTAGCGCAGTCCTCGCTCAGCCAGTGAGCGGGAACCGGTCTGTATGTGGGATCCGAACCCTCAGCGGGAGCGCCTCCGCACATCCCAAGCGGCGCACTAGCGCAGTCCTCGCTCAGCCAGTGAGCGGGAACCGGTCTGTATGTGGGATCCGAACCCTCAGCGGGAGCGCCTCCGCACATCCCAAGCGGCGCACTAGCGCAGTCCTCGCTCAGCCAGTGAGCGGGAACCGGTCTGTATGTGGGATCCGAACCCTCAGCGGGAGCGCCTCCGCACTTCCCAAGCGGCGCACTAGCGCAGTGCGCCACTGGGCCGGCCCCAAGGTCCTTGCATTTTAGCCCTGCCTCCACGCCCCATAACATTTAATCTGCAACTCATAAATTTTATGTGATAATTCTGCCTCGCGCCTCTAAAACATTCTCTTAGATCAGTGGTTCTCAAAGTATGGTTCGGAGACCAGCAGCATCAGTATCGGCGCCACCTGGGAACTTGTAGAAACGCAATGGCTCCCTGCCCCAGACCCTACAATAGAAACCCTGGGGGTGGAACCTAAGGATCTCTTGTGTTTTAGAATACACTTTACGCGATTGCGATGCAAGCTGAAGTTGCAAATCACAGCTTTACCACACTTTACACTGCTCCTCTCAAGTAATTCTATAAACCTCGGCCAAACAAAGCACCTAAGCCCAGTCCTATTCAGCCCTTCCTGCTAAACTCCCCTCTCAAAGACTTTCGTTATTTAGTCCTCCCGCCAACTCCTCAGCACCTTCTAAATTTTGTTCCACCTTTTCTAATACCCTCCTCTCCCCGCCCCTCAGATAAACCCTATTCATTTCCTCTAAATTGCTCTCGCTTTCGGTCTGCCAACCCCTAAACCTGTCTAAGCCCCGCTCTCTTTAAGCCACACCCCTTATCTCTGTAAACCCTTCCAAACTGTCAGTCCTGCTCACACTTTAATTTGCTTTGTTTTGTTTTGTTGTGTATTTTTGGCTGCTGGCCAGTGCAGGAATCCGAAACCCCTCCATTCGGTTCTTCCTTCCAAACTGTGGGTCCTTAGGCGAGGAGGTGGGCAAAATGTCGGCGGCAGAATTTCTGGGAATTTGGCTGGGATATAGGGGGAACGGACCTAGAGTCAGCTTGTATAGCAGGTTCACTGCGACAGGAGAGAGCCAAAGTCTTCCTCCAAGCCATTCTTTGGAATCACGCTAATGAGGCCCAGGACATGAGATCCTCTCAAATTCCATGCACCCCCATCCCGGGCCGTATAGCCGCGGGAAAACAATTGAAGGCAGAAGAGGAGAGTCATCTTAGTACCATCACCGAACACACACAGGAGGCCAGTAGGCAAAGATTTATTTCTATTGCCCTTGCCCCCAAGGGCCTATTAGTCCGGGGAAGGATGGCAGAAGGCAGCAGGATCCAGAAGTTTAGGTCCCCACCCTTCATCCCCTCCCACAACGGGAAGACCGCCAGAGACATGAGTGTCCTGGCCTCCTTTCCCAGGCCCAGCACCAGCTGAATTCCCAGCTCTAAACGTGGCCCAGGAAGCGGTGGCCGGTGGTGTATGTGAAGCCAGTTCCTTCCCCTCCGGCTCGTCTTCATCAGCCACTGCTGTGGCCGGGATGCCCTCGTCGTCCCACGACGGTTCAGGCCCTGGGTCCGGGGGACATAGGGGTTCCCCCATGGTCTCCGGGTGCTTGCGTTTGGAATGGCGCCGGAGGGTGTTGGACTCCGTGAAGCGCAACCGGCATACAGGGCACTGGTACGGGCGCTCCCCAGAGTGGACACGGTGGTGGTGGGCCAGCTCACCTGCCTCGCGGAAGCGGCGGGGGCAAAGCGGGCAGCGGAAGGGCCGCAGGCCAGCATGGATGTTGCAGTGCCGCCGCAGGTGGCTGGACCGCTTGAAGGTCTTGCCGCAATCCTTGCACTGGTGTGGCTTCAGCTCTGAGTGCGAGATGCTGTGGCGCTCCAGGTCAGAGAGGTAGGGGAAGGCCCGCAGGCACACGGGGCAGAAGTGCGGGGCCTTCTTGGGGCCAGAGCCTTCAGGCCCACCTACCACTGACCCTTCAGAGACTGTATAGGGCACACCCTGATCATCGATCAACAGCAAGTCGCTGCCAGCACCGCTGCCCACTGGGGCTGTCACCCCCTGCACTAGCGGGGGCTCCTGCCCTGACTTGGGCGGGCGGCCCCGCTTGCGAGGGAGGGAGGCCTTGAGCTTCCGATTCGAGGAAGTGGCTCCCCCTGGACGTCGGCCTCGGCGGCCCCGGGGAACAGGAGGAGGTAAGGCCAGAGGTTTCTCTTCCTCCCCGGGCAAAGGCGAAGGCAACGGGTCTGGGCTGGGGGTGTCCATTGAGCAGTGGGGGACTTGGGTCTGAGCACTGGAACCGGCTATGAGGAGAGAGGGGCAGCGTCAGTGCAGGCAGGGTCTAGAGCACCCCTGTGTCACCCCAACACCTTGCCCATCCCTCTCTCCAGGTCTCTTGACATTCACTCAGACGCACAATTATAGCCATGCTAGTGGGTAAAATAGCAAGATGACTTTCTACCACTTGGTAAACAGGCACTGCCCTGAGCCCCACTAGTGTCCGCCATGCCTCCCTAACCCTTCCCCTGGATCTAGAAGTTCAAGGTCAACGTGAGCCGAAATAAAGAAAAAACTTCTAGGGGGATAGAGTCCAACTGAGGGTGCAGGCCGGTATTGAGAGAACCCATCAATCTTCAGAGCCATAGAAGTCTCAGAAATGTCCTCCCCTTTCCCCCACTGGCAGAAGTGGGGAAGGGGTCCAGGGCCGGAAGAAAGGGACTGGTTCCAGGTGATATTTGACCCTGATTCGCAGATGAGGAAATATATCCGAGTTGTTAACAGTCTGGCTCTGGAATCAGACATCTTGAGTTCAAATCCCAAGTCTGTTACTTACCCTGTGTGGCCTTGGGCAAGGTGTTCATCTCTCTGAGCCTCAGTTAAGTCTTTTGCAAAATGGGTCTCATAGTTCTACCTACTCACCCAGAAATGCCAATAAGACAATACACATAAAGTGTTCATACAAAGAGGCAGTTAGAAAACAATAGCTATTATTAGCATCATAAATAGTTAAGCCTCACCCAACTCTCTGACCCAACTCTCTGGCAGCTCTCAATGGGAATGATGGAAGGGTACATCATTCCCATTTTGCAAATAGAGAAACTGAGGGACAAGAAAGTCAAGTTCCCTCTATCAGTAAGTGGCAGGGCCAAGACTCAAACCAGGTCTTACTGACCCAATAGCCCAGGGAATGAGAAGAAATGGACCCAAAGAGACAAGGGGACATCATGAGGTCCTGGATTTGAATCTAGCTCTGCCTGTATTAGCAACTGACTTTAGAAGTGACTCTGCCTCTCTGAGCCGGTTTCCTAATGTTTAAAATGGATATGCCAATGTTGTCAGCAGAATCAAATGAGATAAGGGGCTTTAAAGTGCCCCTAGCACACTGCCTGGTGCATAGTAAGCACTCGATAAACTACCACTACCGCCATCATCACCTTCCCAGTGCTCACTCAGATCCTGGGAGCACTGGAATGGGGTATAAAGGCGGGGGG